GATTGGTCAAACTTGTGCACCTACTTTCAGACTTGCCTCCTATTCATCTTCCTCGACTAACACAGCACACAGTCAACACTACAGACAAACAAACAAACTTGCCTCACTCCCACTCATCTTCCTCCACCAAACACAACACGCGCCGTAAGCTGATAAAACGCCTTTTTTTTTCTTCACAGCAGTTTCGAGAAAAAAAACAACAGGTTTTTTGTCAGCTTAACCCTTGAAAAATAGAGTGATGCTATTATGTTCAAGTCTACCGTGTCTCTCAAGAAGGGAATCAAACTCGGGTCTTTGCATGCCACGAGAAATCATTTAACCACTACACCACAGAACCCAGTCCACAAAATACATGCTCAACATTCCACATATTATCTTATTAATATAACAAGCTACTACTCCTCCCACAAGTCAGTGTTCCCAACATGCCCTGAAACTTAACTCTTTGAGTCCTGAGTTTTTTCCACCGTTTCCCACAGTTTTTTTCTACAGTCACCTAAACCTAGTGCACTATGTCTCATTATAACCCCAAAAGCTGCCTCCAACTTCTGAATAGCAGAAACAAAGGATTAGTCATTACTAAAAAACTTGGTTCGGGAATAGTTCCAAAAAACAAGCAAAAACTAGAACTAAATGAAACAAAACAGTTGTCACTAGTATCGGACGCTCCCAGCATCCGATGGGGAACAGGGTTATTCCCGCCGGACGCTACCAGCGCCTAATGGGGTTCAAATAGTTAAAGCCTACCCTCGACAACGGGGAGCTTGTACGTGGATTTCAAAATCAACAACAACAGCACTCCCTGGCAACTAGCAACATTGCCCCTCAGAAAACCAAAAAACAATCGATGCAATCTTGGTCATATATGTGAGGCAGCGTGGTGCAATCAGGCGCTAGTAAAAATAATGAAAGTGAAGAAACTGGCATTTTCCCGGAGGTTTTGGAATTTTAATCGAATTTTTGTTTTACGCAACTTTGGCGGCTAATTTTACCTCTGAAACCAGGCGACCCCCCCCCCCCCCTACGGCATTTGTTGCCAAACGGCATCACTATTCAGAAGTAGACCACTCGACTGCCCCAGCGCGCCCAACTGCTTCAATCACAAGCATCTCTTCTATTCAAGGTAGATGGGTAATGTTTTCACTGAAAGAAAGGCGAATGAACAAGCTTTAGGGAGATACCAATAACTTCATATACCCGAAAATTTACGAGCGCCTATTCCACCCCCGTCATGATACAATTATGTTGTTCACGCCCACTTTTTAGCCCCCACGAGCAGCCCCTGTTCAAGTTTAAGACAATATCTATGAAAAGTTGATAGTCTTGAAAACGAACTGTGGGAATGAAATGTTAAGGACGCAGTAGACACATACTTGTGGGGCAGCAGACCAACATCCGTGTTGTGGCGACATTTCGAACTGTACAGATCTACATAAGCATTCATAGCATGCGTGTTGTAGTGTACCTTACACAGAGTTGGAGATAAAGAAAATCGAATTGAAATATCTGGTCGTATTAATAATATCGAAGGTATGCTTCTAGAACAGTATCTAGAACCGTGCGCAGTCAAGAGTCATTGAAAGCGCAAGAATGTCTGTCTACAAAAAGAAGTAAAAAATATGCAAAATGATTATATCTATCTAAATAATAATAATCAAATAAATAAGTAAAGAGATGCACCAACACAATGCATAACACTCTGAATAATTGAGAGCGAAGAGAGAGCCTCCCCCTCTCCAAACAAACGACCAAAAAAACCCCATACAAACAAAAAAACAGACAAACAAGAAACAAACACACGAGACACAAATAAACCAAAAAAAAAGAACAAAACAAACAAACAAACAAGGG